AGTTTTATTATTATTATTATTTTAAATATCATAGGCTTTACGGTTGTAAGGGATCCTGTGTGTTATAGCCTACACCATTGTGGCAAGAAACTCTCAAGATCAAAGTAATCCCTCACTCCATTACAAAAAAAGTGAGCTTCCCCAAAAGCTATGGTATAGTTCAAACACTTGGTGTGCGTACAGTACCTTATTATAAACCTATGTTTACAATTCTAAAATGCAAGGCACTTCACATTTGGTGTGCGACCCCTTTACAATGGTCTTGCCGTGGACAGTTACAACCCTTTTTGCATCCTTGTTTGTTTGTTTGTTTACTTTATTGTCTTTCAAGGGTATATTTTCTGTGGACTCACAGAGCACTTAAGCAAGTTCTGACACAATAAAAAATTATAAAATAAGCAACCCTGTAAAGGGATTACATACAAGTAAAACATATCGATCAGCGTTCAACAGTCTAATTGGGATAAAAGAGTTCTTAAGTCTGTTCTGCTTCCATCGGAAGGTTCTGCATCTTCTACGAGAAGGTAAAAGATCATAAAATGGGAAGAGTACATGGGATGGATTGTTTAAAAATCTTTTTGCTTCATTAAAAGAGCATTGCTCAAAAAGTGTTGAAAACTAGAAAAGGTTTATTATCCTATAAGTCTAATAGTTATTCTGTTGATATAGAAAAAATTATTTCAGATTTACAGAAAAATTGCCATATCATGTGTAACGGAGGCCAGCTAGTAAGGGCTGTGAGGGTAAACCGCACTCCTCTGACCCTAGCGACAGACCCTAGAGACCATGGTCTTTAGCCTCCTTGGCAGAGCAACCGACTCCCATGCAGAAGTTTGCCGGTTTGATACCAGTTCGGAGCAGGTTGGGTGGCGTAGGACGGGCGAGGTTACATTGGTGCCGCGACCCAGATGGGAGTGAGGTTTAGGGGAGTGAGTGTAACGGAGGCCAGCTAGTAAGTGCTGTGCAGGTAAACCTCACTCCTCTGACCTCTAAAGGTGCCCTAGCGACAAGCGCTAGAGGCCATGATCTTTGGCCTTCTTGGTAGAGCAACAGACTCCCATGCGGAAAGTCGCCGGTGTGATACCAGCTCAGAGCGAGTTTGGTGGTGTAGGACCGGCGGGGTTACACATGTAGATAGACCATACCTGATGACACTCTCAAATACAGCCTGATAAAAAAGTACATGATTTTTGGAACTCACACTGCTAGTGATTGAATATTTATGTAAATTTGGAAAGCTGAACGCATTATGTACTGTACAGGAGACACAGAGGAGATTGATTGACAATGATCTACGGCCAATCAGGATGCAGAACACAATGCGCTGTAAAAAAAGTATTTTAAATTGCACTAAAAATTCTGTGAGGCCGAGAAAGGTGAACTGTGTTATAGTGAGGGACTACTGTATAAAAGAGACTGAATTTGATTTAATGCTAAAATATACTCACAGCAAAGTATTTTTTTCTCATTGATTATAGGTAAAAATAAGTTGAATATATCTTTAAAATACAGAAAACAAGCATCCAAAGCAACTATTTTCAATTTGGCACAACTCAGCTCGGCTTGCATTTCCACTGCAGTTAACTACAAGAATTCTAGAACTACTAGAATATCCAACGGGGTCCTTCCAGCCATTCTTATAAAAGACATCATCACATTGTCACATCATAATTACATTATAATAAGTCATATACATAAGTCATCTTTTTCATAATAATCTCATAATCTTTTTCATAATATAGCCTACAAATGTGTGTGAGTGTATACTGTGCACTCACTTTCACTTCACAAGTGGGAGAGCAAGGTTTCTTTGCTGCACTGAATATGTTGTTTTGAAAGACATATCTGAAGTCAAGTTATGTTTTGCTATCAGAAAGTAATGTTTATGTTAGCAGGAAGTTCCTAGACAACAGAGGCACGCATATTCAAAGGCGAGGGATAAAGTAGCAAACACTGAAATGCATGGGGTCAGCTTGACCACTATATGGTAGTTCAAGATAAAAGTAATTGGAACTCTTTTGTGGTTTTTGTAAAAAAAAAAAAAAAAAAAAAAAAAAAACTAAATAGTCACACGTTTAAGAAAAATCAAAGTATTATAAATATTTGGGTTTTATTTAAACAAAATTAAAAAATAACCATCTATATAGTTCTACTGTTAAAGTGGGTCACTAAAGTTCCACTGAAATGACTTGCTGAATTTTTTCATCCCATCCATCTCATCCACTCTTCGGCTACCAATGAGAGGAACATCTTCTACTGACTATCATGCTGCCATTTTAGGTGTCGTTTTCCTTTTTTAACTATACAGTAGTGGCTGCTGCTGACTATTCAAAGTGGTTTAGTATTTCATTTTGCAAATCCAATGACGCTGGTAGTGGTTGTGATCAGCAGTGTGTATGCATCACATTTTGGTAATGTTACGGCTTGCTCGGAACCTCACTCAAAGAGGAACTAAAAAAATATCATTACTAAATACTCAATACCACTCTGTAAAAAATGCAGGCTTCCACACAATTCCTTCATGTTGTCTGTACACAAATCGATTAAGTTAACTGGATCACTTTAACAAATTTAAAGTTGTGCCCCCCAAAACCTAAAGAATTAAATAATAAGTTTGAGCAGCAAACGTAATTTTTTGAATGCAGGTACTAAAAAGAAAAAAACCCAAAAGTGAGCCAAGCTGAACTGAGCCATCTAAACCAAACCACACCATGTTATGCTGAAAATGTTAGTCTACAAAAAAAGTCAAAATTACGTTTTCTGTTTTTGTTATCATGTGCAGTTAATACAATGGTAGAATATACTAGAAAAGCATATCAGTGTTATGTTAAAGATCCATCAAATAATATATGGAGTATAAAAAAGAAAATGTGATCTCGATAAACAGCACCCTGAATCTATTGCGGCAAATATGACCAAAACAAACAAGCAGTGTCCAAAGTTACTTAAAACTAGTCATTTTTATATCACTATCTGACTTTTTACAGTGAAAGAAGGGCATATGAATAACAAGTGTTAGGTGCTCTTCATGTTGGACATGTTACTTCTTTTCTGTTAATTGTTTTAAAATAATTTAACAGTCCATCATCAAATTAATCCATGCTTCTTTAAGATAATTATTTTACATTATTAATAATATTATTGATTTAATATAATGTTATTTAATGTGTATTATTTTGTATTATTTTAATGTGTAAGTATTTTTGGTGATTGCAAAGTTAATTTGTTTTGAAGGTAATTGAAATCTTTGTATGTATTATTTAAAAGCATTGACATTTCTGACACTTACAAACAAACAAACAGCAGAAACAGTTGGTCTGAAAACAGTTCTATTAGACAGAATGTTTATCGGTCAATTGAAGCTGGCACGTATCTCTTCTGTCGACCCTGAGCAAACACTTCAGAGACATTCCTCTCTGTTTAACACCGCTGGATGAAATTCTGCAAATATTCCACACGATTCTCTTAACCTTCTAGAAAGCCTGTCAGAAAACTGTGGTAACTCAAGGTCCAGTGTGCATTTATTAATATCTGAGAGAATATCTGACGCACTTCAAAGAGCAGGATCTAGAGGAGGTTCTGCCTCTAATGGTTCATTAACAGCTGCAATGTGGAATGTATATTCTTCTGAACTAGTGGAACACAGGCCGCATTAATAGGTGCGTGTTTGACTGACCTCGTGTTTGTTTAAGTGAAGGTGATAATGTGAGCTAGATTTGAGAGGAATCTTTTTGCTGAAGTGCTGGTATGGATTGGGTGTCCAGTTTTTACCTCGCACCAATGTGGCAGCCTGAGAATCAGCCAAATACCTCCAATGTTCTTCAGTGCAGCAAGATAAACAGTTCACTACATGATGTTTTATAGTTGTGCAGCTGCTATTAGTTTTAAGTCTTGTAGAAGCTTAAATCATTTTTAAATCCAGAAAGAATTATTTAAATACTTTTACTCATAATATAATAAGTATTGTGATTATCTTTAGTAATTTTTGTTTGTGAATAATTTGATTGCATAATAATAAAGATAATAAATGATTGAACTGAATAATCTTTCATTGATTCTTTTTTTGTTTAGTCATTTTTAAGTCTTCTTTAAGGTTTTTTAAACATAAAACACTTAACATAAATAATATAATATGGTATTATTTTATTATTGTATTTACTATATTATTTATGATTACACAGTCTAAAAGACATTAAAATACAATTTAAAATGTAAACAATTTATTATCATTTTGATTAATAAATTTTGCTTTATTTTAAAGACTTTTGAATTGCCTCATGGATATAAAAAATTTATAATTTACTATTATATATATAATTGTTTAATTTAAGTTTATTTTGGTTTTTCTTTTCTAAGACTTTTTAATCCAAATGATAAATAAAACAATTATGCTAATTCCTTTTTTAAAAATTTAATTGAAGTATAATTGAAAATTAATTAAATTAAAATTCAAACTTCATTAAGCAAAACTAATAAATACCCATGGGGCAGGTTGTTTTTCAGGACTAGCCTATACTTGCATATATTAAATACTAAATAAATATACAAATACTGTCACATTTAAACAAATGTGATTTGAAAAGAGAAGCAGTAATATTGTATGAAAATTGAAATAGAGACAAAATGCGCTTCAACTGCTTCACACACGCACCTGCAGTGTAAAAAAATATATGATCAGTTAGTTCTGACAGCATGGTGATGCTTCATTGTAACAGAATAAGGTAAGTTAATCAATTTTATAAGATACACAAGCTGTTTTAAGTCAGTTTAACATAATATAAGTTCAATGATTCAGTTTTTAAAAATGTTAGGCAACCAGGATGTTTTACTGTCTATCAGGCAGTGTCTCTGCTCATCAATCATCGCAGATGTCTGTGGTCTGTCACTGATCTGTTCTGCATTGTTTGGATCACGCAGCTCAGTTTTAGAGGCTGGTCGGGGGTCTCGGTGAGGGGTGGGAGGGTCGACATGACAAGCTCTGTCTTGAACTCAGTGAATTCAGTGGTATAAGTGCAGCTGTCAGGTGAGCGTCACCGAGGACCGGCGACCAGTCTCCGCGCGCTTTGCTTCCCGACACCGAGATGTCGCGCCGTCCAACCTGACTTTAACAAGCCGTTTCTCTGCTTCTGCACGTGAAACAGAGCGCGACAGTTCTGCTGCCTGCGAGCCGAGAGGAGCGAGCGGGTTATCATGAGTTGTCTGGATGTTATGTACCCGGCTTATGGTCATTACGCACCGTACGCGCACAAAGCTTCAGCCTTTATCAGCACTTTACCGGTAAGCAGCGGTTAATCAAGTGTGTTTGAATCGACTGTATTAAAGGTGCACATTGTGCGGATGTAAAATGCACTTTATGTATCGTTTATAATGCATGTATTTGCTCTGCGATTGAGGTTTGATAGTTGTCACACTTTAGTAAATACTTCTCAGGTTTTGTAAAGGCAGAAATGTTTAAGTTTGGCTATAAAGAAGGCAAATCGTTATTGCACATGAATGCTATTCAAAAAGATGCAGTTCACTCAACACAAGCTGACCATCTGAACGAGAGATGTTGTCGCGTTATATAGGCCAAGTTTTCTCAGTGTAATATGACAGTATAGTTTACTTTGCGGGTTTCATAACAGTAAAATGTATAAAAAGATTCATGAAATTGCAAAAAATTTAGTTAAATCAGTCAAAATAGATAAAACCTAATGTTTTATGGGACATTATTATTGTTGTTGTAGTTGTTATTATAAGCAAAAGTATCTTTTAAATGTAATTATATGTTTAATATTTCAATATATTAATGTTTAATTTCTTATTCAAATATTCTTTATTTTTAGTAATTGTTTTTTTTATGTATTTTGTTTTATATATTACTGGAAGATGATGAAAAATATGTATACATGAAATAATTAATGAACAATTTATTACATGTCAAAAATATCAAATGTATTCATTTACTAAGATGTCAAATACATTTTGTCAAAAATAATGTGTTTTATAAATGTAATTAAATAAAAATAATATTCCAAACAATATAAATTTTTTTGCCTAAACTGTACAGTAACACTGATTTTATACATGTGTAATTGCCATTCACACTTACATGTTCGTAATTAAATGGTCAGGCATACACGCACACACTGACCTCCTCATCTTACAAAAACAAGAAAATGTTGAGCAATGCTTATAAACTGCCTTTTCTTTTAAGGCTCCCCTTGGTCTGAGAAGCCCCTCGTCTCGCTGTAGGGACCCCATGGACAGTGCGGGAGCCCTGTGCTGCTCGGACAATGCCGGCAGCTCCAGCTCAGCTGGTCCATCTACATCACCGTACCCTCCGTCCGGACAGGTAGAGGAGGCTACAAAGGACAAAGAGGTCGGAGAGGCAGAATACCTGAGCTCACGGTGTGTCCTCTTCACCTACTACCAAGGAGACATCAGCAGCGTGGTGGACGAGCACTTCTCCAGAGCCCTCAGCACATACATGGAGGCAGAGGGCAAAAAGAGGGCCAGTGATCCCAGCACAGGTGAGAGCATGCCAAAAGTATTTCACTATTTGATCTGAGCACACAAGAAACAGACAAAAGGAATTTAAAATGAGTTTGTATACTAATTATCTATGCTGTCTCATGGCTCATCTGCATTCAAATGAGACACTTTGTTTTTGATTTTGGATTAGTGTTTTACACCTCCATTCGCATCACAAATAAAAAAAAAAACTGTTGGCATCTGTTGGCATTGATCAGTGCTCATTTCTCACTGATGTTAACTGAACATGTTCAATAGCATTTACCGGGTGGTGGAATGTTTGACAGTTGATCTGTAATCTGTCTGAATTAGTCTGCTGGCATGCTGTTAATTGATGTTAAAGGGATAGTTCACCCAAAAATGAAAATTCACACTCAGATGTTTCTGAACTTCTATATGTTACCTCTGTTGAACACAAATCAAGATATTCTGAAGAATGTTGGGAAAAAGCAGCACTGAACATCTATAATATAGGAAAAACAATATACTCTGGAAGTAAATGGCTGTTGTTTTACATATTTTTACCTTCTTTTGTGTTTAACAGAAAAAATAAACTTAAACATGTTTGAAAGAATTGGAGGAAAAATATTTGATGACAGAATTTTTTTTGAGTGAACTATCCTTTTAATTTAACTGATTGAGGCATCATGTCAGAACAAATTTAGTGGGAAATGATATTTGACATTTTTTAAGAGTTGTTATTTTCATGTCATTCTGAACTTGTGAGACTTTTTTTTTGTGAGATTTTTTTTTTTTTTACGTCGATGGTTCTAAGAACATTTAACATCCACCTTTCCAATGCTCAAATGCTTGTTTATCATTCAGATTAGTAAAACAATCTTCATTTCAAAAAGGTTATTTGAGGAACTAAATGGCTTTTCTACACTGTTCTGTTGCATCTCCAAGAAAATCCCTGGTCCTGATGATGTATTGAGGCCTTATTACCTGAAAAGATGCATCTATTCAAAAAACAAACACTTTTTTACTTTATTACTTTTAATTCACAACCTTAGCAAACAATATTTATATGAGCAGATGCTGCTTGTTTACAACTTTTTCATATGGCTACGGCATTCAATAAGTAACATTTTAATGATCTAAATTGTAAAAAAAAATATTTGTTCAAACTACTTATATAAAATGAGCTAAAACAACACCATTCTTGAGGTTTCATTGGAACAATTTAAATTTTTTATATTCAAAAGTATTAAGTTAACTTAATCGATTTGTGTTGGGACAACATGAATGAATTATGTGGAACCCTGCATTTTTTTACAGTGTTTGTAAGTTAACATTTTAATAATAATTAGATGTTGCTGGAATTTGACAGATTTTTCGTTTTTGAGTGAACTGTCTCTTTAATTAAACTGATTGAGGCTTCATATCAGAACAATATTAGACGGAAATGATATTTGACATTTTTTAAAAGAGTTGTTCTTATTTTCATGTCATACTGAACTTGTGGGACTTTCGTCTGGGTTTAATTTTTTTTAGCATTGATGGTTCTAAGAACCTTTAACAACCACCTTTCCAATGCTCAAAAGCTTATTTATAGCAGAAATTATTCAGATTAGTGGAGCAATCTTTATCAGTGAAATTTAAACTGCACTGAAATGAGCTAAACTGAACTTCAACTCTGAAAACTGGACTGACACAGTTTCAATTTACTAAAACGTCTATGTTAAGTTGCTTTGACACTGTCTACATTGTAAAAACGCTATAAAAATAAAGATGAACTGAATTAAATTGAACAATCTTCATTACAAAAAGGTTCTTTGAAGAACCAAATGGCTTTTCTACACTGGATTCTGTTGCATCACCAGGAAAATCTCTATTTTAAGAGCATGTGCAATGCTAAAGGAGATATTTCAAAGAATATTTCAGCTGTTAATGCTTCAGAACATCCCATTTTGGTGTCAGCATCAATTAAAATATACAAAAATGATTTAATAGCAAATAGACATGTCTACTAATGTGTCATTCATCATAGCATATATATTCATTCATTAATTTATTTTCTTTTGGCTTAGACCCTGATTTATTAGGGATCGCCACAGTGGAATGAACCGCCAACTATTCTGGAATATATTTTACGCAGCGGATGCCCTTCAGCCGGAACACACTAGTTCAGCTCAATTCAATTAATCTTTATTTCTATAGCGCTTTTACAATGTAGATTGTGTCAAAGCAGCCTAACATAGATAATCTAGTAAATTGAAACTTTCTCAGTCCAGTTTTCAGAGGTGAAGTCCAGTTTAATTCAGCTCAGTGTGGTTTAAATTTCTCTGCTGAAAGTCCAAACAATACTGAGAAAAGCATATATATCTTATAATTACGTAAAAATTAATTCATTAAAATATTTTAAAATGTTTTATCTATAAGTATGTAAAAATGTGTTGCTGACAAAAGTGTGAAATTACACCTTATTTGACCAACTCAGGTCTATAAGTTATAAGCTACAAAAAAAAAAAAAAAAAAAATGACATAACTTAAATTTTTTGGCTAAACTATCTACAGTAGCACATGAAAAATGTCACAAAACAGTCACTAATGTCTTTCTGCCCCTTTTATCCAATCAAATGTGATAGCGTGCACAGCCTGCTGAATAGCAGAGCGCACAAGCATCTTCTGCGCAAGTTGGCGCTTAATGTGTTTGTGTGTTTACCTTAATGAACCTTTGCTATATTTCCTCCCCTCCCCATGACATCTTCATCCTGCCTCTTAGACACTGCCTGCCTCCCAACAGATACTATGTTTAAACATGGCGGTAAGCGCAGTGGCTCGAGCTGGTATCGCGTTCAAACGGCTCACAATACCACGCGTCAGATTTATGAGGAGCTCGTCCACCCCTCCTCTGATCACCAATACATCACTGGTGTCTTTTTTCAGACCAATTCTAAATATAAAAGTAACAGCTAAAAAGACGCTTCTCCCCTCCCGGCACATTCTACGAGGGGTTACGGGGGGCGAGAGGGTTAGTAAAAACAACAGGTGGGGGCACACGATCAGAGACAGGGGTCTGCAGGTCTGTGGAGGTGCTGGTGACGGTAGAAGAAGACCACATGCAGATCTCCAGGTTTAAACTCCAGCCTTATATAGACTGCTGGGACACACAGAGACTCTTAAAGGGGTACTTGACCCAAAAATGACCATTCGGTGTTGTTAGAACATTTGAGAAACATTAGGGAAATTATTTTGCTGAAATTGTAATCTTTGTCTGTGCATAAAAAGCATGTGAAGAGCCACTGGCATTTCGACAGTCAAAAAAACATGAACAGTAAAACAGTAAAACAAATGCTAACTCAACTTAAAATTGTACGACAACTTGTTGCAGAGCTTTTTTTTAGTTGACTCAACTTAAATTGATTCAAGTGCAGTACTTGGTTTAAAAGTTAAGTCAACTTAAAAAAGTGCAAGTTGTCTTACAATTTTAAGTTGAGTTACATTTTTTTCGTGTAAACAGGAAAAACTAATTTCTTACTTATGGCTCCTGATGATATATTGAGGTCCTAGGATGCAAAAAGATCCATTTGTGAATTATTTACTTTATTATTACTTTTAATTTAAAACCTTAGCACATGATATTCAAATGAGCTGACGCTGCTTGTTTACAACTTTTTCATACAGGCTGCAGCATCCAAAAAGTAACATTTTGATGATCTAAAATATTGTTATAACTTTGAGAGTTAAAATTTTAATAATAATGAGATTCTTCTGGAATTTGGATTGCTCTGTTAAAAATTGTCAAACCACATATGGATTACAAGTGAATATTAAACCATAAGAGAAACATGAGGTGAAGTCTGTGCTGCGTACGTGTGAATGAATGGAGTGGTTTCATTTATTACACATCTTAAAGCTTGCACGATGCTCTCATCCACCTTCACACACAGACTTAATCTCCAGAGCTGATCTGACAGTCACTTCACAAGCATTTACCGTTTTATGTGGAGCTATCATATGTATGCTCAGAAAATAATGTGTCAGCCTTGTCAACATAAAAGTCTGCTTTAAATTTGATTAAAATGCACTAAAAATATGCACAAAACATTTAACAACATATCTTGTATTGAGGAGTTACTGACTTTATGTCTGATGGTTGCAGTCAGCTTCAAGTACATTTGTTTTAGAATAAAATTGCAACAGTTGCTATTTCTCAAGACCTACAAGTGTTTTCAGTCAAATAAACTTTACACTAAACGACAATCTGTAATCCAAAACATATATTAAAATAAAATTGTAATTTAAAACATTATTGAAAAATGCAGATTGAATTTGCGAGCTGCCAAAAATAATTAGTTCAGTTTCTTCACAAATCTGTTGAAGCTGTTGCATTTATTTTTTTACTTTCAAAGTGCTGCTATTATTATTATTACTATTACCAATAAATAGTGGCAACTTGCACTGAAAGAGTGTATGAGTGTTTCCCAGTGTTGGGTTGCAGCTGGAAGTGCATCCACTGGGTAAAACATGGCGTCCCCTAAATTAATAAAGAGACTAAGCTGAAAAGAAAATTAATGAATGAATGAACTTGCACTGAATATATCAACAAGGATCATAGTTTCAGCCCAAAAAATCTTTGTTCTACTACAGAAAAAAGTCCTTTTGAGGTAAATATCTTTACAGCAATCTTTAACTTTTTACCCAGAACATGAGGAAAAATAAGATGCCAGACAACAGAATAAAAATGCTCAATATTAAACTTTTTCAACTTCATACTTCAGCGTTATACTGCACGCAAAACATGGAAGCTTATACCAAACATGTCTGTCAAAAAAATTGTTCTTGACCTCTTCATCTTTTGTATTTCTTTCGTGGGTTTTCTAACTCCCCTCTCGCTCTCCCTCTCTCCCTCCGTCTCTCATCTTACTCATGTGGCTGTGTGTATTTCTGTGATGTGTGCTAAGCTCTTTAGAAGCAAATGGAACACCATATGATTCAATCAGAAAGACATCTGAAGGCGTGGGGCTGGAAATCATGTGAAATCATGTGACAAGCCTGACCTAAGAGTCCAAGGTGCAACGGCCTTATATGTGGACAAATGAGACACAGACATGCCACCTCAGCTGAACCTCCAATAATATGATAGCTAATCCACACAGCATGCAAATTATGGGGGGATTGACCCCTCTAATTAAAGCTCGAAAGGAAGTTTCGGTGGTGTTCAGACAGCATTTCAACAACCGCAAACATGAGGGTACAAGTTAGTTCAATCCCGCTGAAGAGAGATGCTGGTGAACAGAGGTCATAGTCACCTGATGAGGTCACCATAGCAACAGCAGCACTGACAGAAATTAACTTTTCAATAAACACTGATATTTGCCCCTTTTAACTGATTGAAGGCCATTTTCACACATCACTGTTCTACAAAAACTCCAAACAAACTCTGACTGTCCAAAAACACTATTTGTTGCTTTGATTACTTGTATTGTCCACATTTTTAGTCAAGTCAAGTCGAGCTTTATAGTCATTCCGCGCCATGTGTGCACATACAGAGGAAGGAAATGTGTCTTGCAGGACAACGATGCTACATAAATTAATCAATTTTCAAAAACAACTATGCATAACTAACATAGATTATAAGCCAGCGGTTCCCAACAGGGGTGTCCAGGCCCACAAGGGGGCCTTAGCGAGCTCTGTAAATATTTTTTATTTTTTTTAAATATTTAATTTTTTTTAGCAGTGGACAATTAGGAGAACAATCATGTCATCTTAGTTAATTTTATTCCCTGGCTGACCATAAAATGAACACATTTATAATTCGCCCACTCCAAAAAAGACAGTCTCACTGATTCGCCTTCAGAAGCTATTAGTAATGACCCAAGCATACTGGACCCAGGTGAAGAAGCTCCAAACATTTCAGGTCACAGCGTTAGCAATACTGGAAACACAAAATGCAGGAAATACCAAGATAGTTATCTGAACTATGATTATTTTCCATCTTTTTCAAAGCAGAATCCCTGACCCAGCCACAGTGCATTATCTGTGCCAAAGTTCTTGCTAATGAATGCATGAGGCCATCCAAATTAACATTTGCAGATGACCCATCCTCAATACCGCAAGGTGGACACAATACAAATGGCCTAATATTTTGCTTTTATATTTTACATTAGGCTTTTATTTGTGCATAATCATATCTAGATATAGTAATAAACATACCGCTTGTTTGAAAACAACCTTTTTTTTGTCATACCTTACTCCAAACTTTCATTCATTCATTCATTTTCTTGTCGGCTTAGTCCCTTTATTAATCTGGGGTCGCCACAGCGGAATGAACCGCCAACTTATCCAGCAAGTTTTTACACAGCGGATGCCCTTCCAGCCGCAACTCATCTCTGGGAAACATTCACACACACACACACTCATACACTACGGACAATTTAGCCTACCCAATTCACCTGTACCGCATGTCTTTGGACTGCGGGGGAAACCGGAGCACCCGGAGGAAACCCACGCGAACACAGGGAGAACATGCAAACTCCTACTCCAAACTTATGAGCGATAATATCATTAAATGTGAAGGGGGCCCTACAATATTTTCTGGGAAAAAAGGGGGTCTTAGGCAAAAAAAGTTGGAAACCACTGCTATAAGATACACAATGTTGTGTTGTATTGTGCAAGAGAGGTATTAAAGGTGAATATTGTGCAAAAGAGGTATTTAAGGTTTAATATTGTGCAAGAGCAGTGCAATATGATTGTAGTACATATCATTATTGAGTTCTTGTAAGATAAAGTTTAGATGAAGTGTCAGGTGAATATACAGTTAAAGTTAGAGCCCCGAATTATTAGTATGAATTATTAGCCTCGTTAATCCTTCCCACCCCAAATTCTGTTTAACAGAGAGAAGATTTTCACACATTTTTAAACATAATAGTTTTAATAGCTCACTTCTAATAATTGATTTAATTTATCTTTGCTATGATGACAGTAAATCATATTTGACTAGATATTTTTCAAGACACTTCTATACAGCTTAAAGTGACATTTAAAGGCTTAACTAGGTTAATAAGGTTAACTAGGCAGGTTAGGGTAATTAGGCAAGTTATTATATAACAATGGTTTATTTTGTAGACGATCGAAAAAAAGGGGTTGATCTTAAATTATTATTATTATTTAAGCCAAAATAAAACAAATAAGAATTTCTCCAGAAGAAAAACTATTATCAGACTTATTGTGAAAATTTCCTTGCTCCGTTAAACATCATTTGGGAAATATTTAAAATAGAAAAAAAATCAAAGGGGGCTGATAATTCTGACCTTAACTGTATAAGCATCTGTCAAATTAATGAACTATTGAATGATTTTTTATTGAATTCAATTTATTATGATTATCTTATTTTTGAAACATGAATTGATGAAAAAGAAATAGCCAGCTTTAAAAAAATTGTCTGAAAAAGTGAGACGTTGTATGGTCAATCCAAACAGTTTATTCAAAATGACTAACTCATTCACAAGCGAAGCCAGTGTTCTTATGATTGAGTCATTGTCACTAACTCAACCAATTCATTCAAAAATGTTAATTCATTCAGAAATGAACGAAGCACAACTATGTTTTGCTCAGACAAACAAAAATGTTCTGATGTGTTTTTGTATGAAACAGCAAAAACAGCCGATATTGACAACTTTTTTATTGAAATGTCTTTTGTATAACATAAACGTCACATTAAAACCTCATTCACACTATGAGTGACTCGCAGAGGCAAAGCAAAAAGCAACTGTTCATATCAATGAACAGTGATTGACTTCAAGAAAAATAATGAATGATTATGAAAATCTTTATAATCATTAAAAAATTAGGAAAATAATAAAAAGATTTAGTTTAAAAATCTTGAATAATATTAATGTTATGACGTTGTTCCGGAAACTTCCTACTTCTCTATTTATCAGCCTGACTTTACGATGGGTTTGTTTTAATGCCTTCTGTTCGCAGCCTTGTCCATTTTGTGAGGTGCACACGCAGTTGACGTGGTGCCAAGCAAAAGTATGTTTGCAGCAGGTCACCACCTAGAGCGACAGGCAGCTACAAAGTTGCTGCTATAGTGAATGAGGCATTACAGTTATGCTGATATCCGCAAAAACAACATGTTAGTTCATGCAAAGCCATTTACAATTAAATCATTTTTTTAAAGTTTGTTAAATAAATTGAGGCTATTATTAATTTCTGGCCCTGAACATTCTGCTGTGCCCATCCCTGATAAAGCAGGGAATAGACCAAAGAAAGAAGGAACTAAAAAAAAACATGAATAATTAGCATGCTGAATGTCAAACCTGCCCTATAATTGTCAAAACTAGCCTTATGCAAAATGCTAATTTAAAAAATACAAAAAATGTATTTGTGTCATTTATGTGTGTACACATAATATTATACTACTTTCTCTCTGTTCCTATTATTATTCTGTCTCTCTCTTCTCCCCATCAGATCCTTTATCCTCAAGCAGTCGGCGCAGTTTCCCTCCATCATTCTGGGACAGTAACTACCCCTCTCCCCCGAGCCGACCTCACTGCGACCCTACAGGTGCTCCCACCTACGCCATAGACCCCTACAGCCAGGGCCTGCATCCGGGTCTGCCACACACACACCCGCACCCACACCCATCAGAGTCCTGGACCTACTCCCAGAGCCAGACCTATCCCGCCCACCGGCCCCTTCACGAACTCTACTCTCCTCCTGGGCTGGATGCCCACTATGGGCCCCTGCTGATGCCTGCTGTGAGGCCGCCTCATCTGCCCACACTGCCTGGGCATTACGATGTGGGCAAGCTGGAGCCCACCGCAACTTGGCCAGGGCTGCTTCCTCCTGGCGACGTGGCACAGAGTCTGGCTCTCAACATGGAGCCAGGTAAGCTGATGAGGTGTAATGTAGGCAAACTAAATGCAAATACTAAGAAATGCACTGACAGTTCGACTTACTTTTTTTCATTTCAAGCTGAAATGGGTGAAATTGTTTATTTTGACTCTTCACGTCTTCTTTGTGCAGACATCAACTATACATTTAAAAAAAGAGTATTCTATCAGATAAAAAATGGAATTAAGTGTTTAATAAATGAAACATTAAAAAATTAAACCAATTTAAATGTATTGTCTGTCATCTACTAATTTTATGCATCTTAATATGTATTCAAAAATGGTTTAAAGTTAATTTGACACTGTATACCATTTTTTTTAATTATACAAGCTGTTTTTGAAAGTCTATAATGTTGATTTATGAATAGCCTACAAATAGAAAAGTTAAAAACAAATATATGAATCAAATGATACACCATTTTTATACACCATTTGACATCCTAAAATGGATCAATTAATCAATCCATACAATTAAAAACAAATACACAAACATGAAAAAAGGGCAATTTAGTGTGACCCTGAAGAGTGTACTTCTTAAAATAATAATCTAATAGTTATTTAATTTTAAGGTTAATTTATATAACAAGAAATACATAAAAAAATGCAAACCATATTACATTAAATTTGTCTAATTTATTCATTCTTTCATTTTCTTGTCGGCTTAGTCCCTTTATTAATCTGGGGTTGCCACAGCGGAATGTGCCAACTTATCCAGCATGTTTTTACGCAGTGGATGCCCTTCCAGCCGCAACCCATCTCTGGGAAACATCCACAAACCCTCATTCACACACACTCATACACTATGGACAATTTAGCCTACCCAGTTAACCTGTACCGCATGTCTTTGGACTGTGGGGGAAACCGGAGCACCCGTAGGAAACCCACGTGAACGCAGGGAGAACATGCAAACTCCACACAGAAACGCTAACTGAGCCGAGGATCGAACCAGTGACCTTTATGCTGTGAGGCAACAGCACTACCTACTGCGCCACTGCTTAAATATTTAAAAATAATTAGAAAACCTTGCTTTGAATCATCTTAACTAATGCAGTATCATTTGAAACATTTTATGATGAACCTATTACAGTAAAAACATAAACAATCCTATTTATAACACAATGGAGTTCAATGCTGAATACACTAGTCGAGCTGCTTCTGCCTTTGCTTGCCGAGGTCTTGTGCATTGTCCTCTATCTGTCAGGTGACAATACTTTTTAAAAGTTATTTACAACATTTAATTTAATTGTTCAGTTTGTTTTATAGCTCAGCAATAAAACAAAGAAACAAAAGATTATGTTAAAACGAAAAAATATGTTACATTTATGTTAAAAATGTGATGGTGGGCAAAGTCAAAGGTTATCGTCGGCCTACTTTGGGCATCTTTGATTTAAACAAATGCTAATTCAGAATCAGCATTTATTAATTATTAATTAATTATTACACATATATTAAAAAATTGGTTTTGTAGCAAGATCTGTTAAACTTTTCCTAAAATCCCTAACTTGTGTCTCAATAATAATCATTTAAAGCAGATGCACCCTATTATGCAATAAATAACTCACAAAATAAAAATAAAATAACTCACAAAATATGGCTTCCACCTTTTTTACTGTTTGCATGCTAGATATTCATAAACAACTGAACATCATGTAAACTTAATCACTGATTTGCTTGTTAAATCTAAATCAGTTTTGAAAAATAAAGCCTCTGAAGCCTCTATTTGTTCCACAGTGCTTCATTTTCCAAACTAACTGAGAGCGAACCGGCAAATTACCCATCAAGTTTCCAGAACGTTCTGTTTAGAAAAGTGCATGAATTATGTTAAAGGCAAACGAACACACACACATACACCCAAACCCCTCCAGGATAATGGCAGGAAATGGATTGTTTGGCCTCAGTTGTTGCTGCTTATTATATACAGAGTTTGCAGCCACCATGGAGATTCAGTGTGTGTGTATACGGTCCTCTTGTTTTCAGCCATTGTGCTCATGTCTGCTCTGCACCGCAGGTCTCCAGCACCACAAGAAAGGGAAGGAGCTCTACTGGTTTTAATGAGAAGCCCTTCATCGACCATCCAATTAAAGCCTGCAGTTTGGCCCATTGTAGCCGAACTGTTGTTTCTTTAGCCCCACGCGGCTCTGCACACGCTCTGAACGCGCTCCAGGACTATTTGTGTGCACCATGGAGATACGAACACGGGCGACGAGAGGACGCCTGGGGGAGGCAGGGGGCGCAAGCTGACATGCTCTTTCTCTTTTTGGATCTGTTTTTCTCTTTTTGATCTTTTTTTATTATTAATTTATTGTGGTGTAAAAATCCAGCTTGCTCTCTGATTCTCTGTAAGAAATACTGCATGGTGCCGTATATATACAGTATGGAATGATACATTTTCTAAAACAAATATGGCTGTTTATATTGATTGAACAAAGGTGGCAGCGATGTGTTTGTATTGTATTTTCCTCTCATGTACAGTATTTTTATTTATATATATATATATATACAGTAGTATTTATGTGTTTTAATTAAAATACAGTTATGGCCAGTGATATGTTTTATGTTGTTTTTCATATAGGAAATGTGCCATATTGTGAAACAGCTATAATATTTAATTAATAAAATATACCACATAATAAAACAGTGAAATAATGTGTAATTTATCATGTTAGGTTAAGTTTATACAACAACAATTTAGATAAAATGAAGAAGTGGTCATTTTCTGTTTATAAAAAGTTTCACACGGATCCACAGAAATGACTGAAAACTATATATTTTTATGTCAGGCTGCCATGTACTTGGCAATATTACTTTGTAAAGAAACATTGCTGTATTGATGATATTTTATTTGATATGAAAGTTTCAAACCAACCACTAGAACAATAAATGTTCCATATAGGGCTATATGGGCACAATATTGGATAAAACTGCATTGCAATATTTATTGCATTGTGAATATAATTTTACAAGATTACTTTGTATTGGATAGAATACATAATTTAATTGGGATGATTTTTTTTATGATGTTTTGTGGATTTGTATACAATATACAAAATAAAATAAATCAAAGCACAGATGGAAACAACAGAACAAAGATAAATAATAAAATAAACAGCACATTTGAAGTCTAAAAGTATTGAGGGACAGAAATAACACTTTATAGTATTCATTGACAATTAAACACAATTAATCCTTGTTAAAGGGGAAAACTTTATGATTTCTAGTGCCCAAATGGATTAATATGATTTAAATCATGCAGGCACAATCCTTTAAAACATCCAAATAAAAATCTTTCACATTATTAGAATAAAGTTAAGCTTTGCAATGACCACAAACCACATGTTCTGAACTGTGGTCCCTGGTTCATTATAATCCTAACTTGACATTGCAGATCCTGCGATGTGACTATTACAAATTCTCACATGGCGATATTAATGCTGAAGCGATTTAGTGTATTTTGTAGGCAAAATCGTTTTTGGTGTAATATTTTTAAACGGTGGGTCTATTTTATTGCAATAAAAAATTTTAAAACTGAAAATGTAAGACAGTGTTTGTATTTCCATATTAAACATGAGTTTGAATAAATTGCTTTGTTCTCCTTATGACTTTTTAAACATTTAAACAATTTCTATAGTTATGAAATACTGAAAATGTTTGTTTGGTGTGTCGGAGTTAAAGAGATAGTTCACTCAAAAATGTCCAGTTTAACCAAAATTTCCTCACCATTTACTGATTCAGATCTAAACTTTTATGAATTTCTTTCTTCTGTTCAACACAAAACAACATATGTTATACATGTTATATGTCTAAAGTTTTTTTGGGGAAAAAATCAGCCATTAACAATAATTTTCTCCCCAACATTGGAAGAGTTTTCATTTTTGGGTGAACTCTTTAAGCTGGACATAAATAACAACTTAGTGGCAGACACATTGTAAATGCAGTGAACAATTGTCACAAACAGGAACTATCTGCTCTAGAATGGTATTCAGGACTGTCTTCTGTGGATTAAATTATATTGTAAATAATGTTCAGTTTTTTGCAAAGACTGACATTTTTACTAAAAGTCCAAGCCTACAGCAGCTACCGTAGCCATATTCATTTTTGTTGGCAAGATACCCATTAAGCTGAGTTATTTGAAGGAACAACGTTTCAATTACAAACTTTGTTCTGGAATAAAAAACCCAAAATGGCCTGGGTGAGTAAATGTTCAGTAGCCTAAATGTTTATTTTGGGCAAACGGCCCCTTTAATTGACTCGTGTATGTTGGGTAATGGCGGGTTTCGGTAGCCTAGATTTGATACCGTTCAACGGTGTTTATGTTCCTCTGGATGGAAAGATGTTCCAGGCTTATCACTGATGTTGTTGGGCACAAACTCACTCTTGTCGTGAAATTATAAACGGGTATACGAATGTTCCTGGTTCCTCTTAGACTCTCCTGCCAAACCTATAAAACACGGCAGCAGTTGGTATAAAATCTCTGTCTGTCAACAGGCACTATTTATAATTGTGTTTTAAGCTAAATCAGAAAGTTGATTACGAATATATATGTAATAAAACACATGCCACAACTACTTCAAGTAAATAAATAAACTTCCGTGAAATAAACAGTGATTGTTCTTTCTTCACACCGTACCTTACTGCACTTGAGGATGAGGAAAGGAAAATTAGGAAGACTTTGTCAGTTTAAACGTGAAACATTCATTAGTTAGGACATCATGAATGCGCACTTCAGGGTTTTGTCAGGTGTGTTTGCCAATCATACTCACAGCAGCAGAAACAAAAGCGACATCTGCTGGTCATGAACTGTAATTGCTTGGTGGTTAATAGTGTAAATATGAAAACTAGTGATTTATTATAGAGTCATTACAAAAACAATGGATTTATGAAAAGGATGTAAAACAAAATCAGAGCAATTCAGTGTAACATTTAATCTGAAAACGTTCTAGTATCTACTTTTATGCTATGTTAGGTCTTGACCTAATAAGAAAGTATATTTTCCATTAAATTCATTCATTCATTCATTCATTCATTCATTTTCTTTTCAGCTTAGTCCCTTTATTAATCAGGGGTTGACATAGCGGGACGATCCGCCAACTTATCCAGCACGTTTTACACAGCGGAAGCCTCTCCAGCCACAAACCAACACTGGGAAACACTCACACATTCTTGCACACACTCACATATGTGTACATATACTAAAAATGTAGCTTATTCAATTCACCTAAAGTGCATGTCTTTAGACTATGGGGGAAACCAGAGCACATGCAAACTCCAAATGCCAGCTGACCCAGCTGGGGCTTGAACCAGCGACCTTCTTGCTGTGAGACAATTGTGCTACCCACTGCGCCACCTTGCTGCCTTTTTCATTAAGTAGTTATAATTAATTTGATGGTAGTGTGTATTCTTCATATATTGGTGTTTATTTCCTCCAGATACTTATTTGTTAAAAAGCAAGTTCATATTTAATAAATACTATACGCATTAATTTCTGGTAATGCAGGGTTTAATTAAAAGTTTTACTAATAAAATAAAAAAGGTTTCGGTTTTAAATTGAAATAAAGTACTACGTTACCAATATAGTGAATAGTTAATTGTCAAAACTGACAATAATGTAAATAAATCAATACATTTTAAATAAGGGCTATATACTATCTATCAATTATGAACTTGTGTCTAATCAATAAACAGTTTCTCATGAATATGTTTTAGTATGTTTTAAAAAGGGTCAACTTGACTTGACATTTGTGTCTGCCGGCTGAGACTTCTGTCACATGTCTGGAAAGTTGTATTGTTGTTATATGGCAATCATGTGTCAGATGGTAAAATTTGAAAATATTTTTTTGTGGGCAGATCGTGTCTGTTCAGAATTTTAGGACATCGATGCAGTCAGTCAGTTGACAGAAGTTATAAAGATTGTATACTTCAAACATGTGATCAGAAATACTGCAAGCGCATGGCTGTCATTCTGTCATCTGGTGCTTTCTCTGGTAATTTTTAGAATACCTATTGTGCTTTAGATCAGTTAGTCTCAAATGGTTTGCTTCAGGACCACCATTTCACATAGAAGATCAAATGATAAAGATCCACAGTACCCAACTTTATGAAACTAAATGATGAAATCTATTAATAATAATAATAATAAAAAACAAATATGTTTAACATTAGTCTAAATTATTAACTATGCACATTACTTATATTACATTTTTATCTGCTGCCTGGCCATTTTCATAGTTTCAAGCTCATCACTTGTACATAGATTTGAACAGAACTGTGGCCAACACATTCAGTACAAACTATGTACAATAGCTTTAAGTAACTAATATTGGGCTCTCCTATCAAAATGAGAAAAACTAAGTATTAGGGCAAATAATAAAAATGACAAATGCTGCAGTATTTTAGCATACAATCTAAAGCACCCAACCCTCATCATGAATTCAAAATAAATGTTTTTTTGCACAATAATCTTTTTATATATAATAAAACAGCAACTTCTGATCAAAGAGTGAATATGAATTTTTGTAAAATGCTTCCATATATATATATATATATATATATATATATATATATATATATATATATATATATATATATATATATATATTATATATAGTTTATCATTTAATAAATCAAACTATAAATAATTTATCACAATAAATATCAAATAACAAGGATATATTGGAAATATTCCTTTAAATTTACAGTGATGACTGATTTATGGCACTTACATATTTATTTAACAAAAAACATTATTAAACAAACAAACAAACAATAATAACAATAACAAAATTTTGTTTCGAAAATATTTAAGATATTGTGAAATATTTTTCAAAATAATCTAAACACATTATTGAAATAATTAGTGAGAAGAACTAATGAGTCATGCATTAAGAGGTTAACACGAGAATGTACGCGCTTAATGTATTTTAAAGAGCTCAAATTCACAACATATTTCTTGATAATGCCTATAAAAGCAAGCAGATGAACCCCCAATCATGCACTACCCAAAAGCCATATACCAATTTTACACCTTTGAACCTGTTATTATATAAATTAATATAACCTTATTAACTTTCATTATATTATTAATATATTATATTAATGCATATAACTTATTAACACACTCTTTTTTCTGGGCAGATATGCTATTTGTATAATCTCCATTGTCGTCAATGTGAATTTGATTCTTCAGTATTACTGTTTTAGGACAAACGTATGATAAATGGAGTTTTGCTTTCCAGGTGAGTAATAATATTTTGTAAAAACTGTGACCCACCTGGATCTTCTTATTTACACTAAATAATATATAATGGAAACACAGGCATTAATAGGATTTTAATGAGGAACAAGACACATGCAAAAGAGTACAATGCATGCTAAAAAACAAGAACAACATACTGCACACTAAGCACTTACAGCGGAAAAACACACAAATGTGCAGCACATGAACAGACAGTACAGACATATACATTTAAAACCACCACAAAGAAGAAGTCTGTATTGTCCATTTTAACACAAAACAGCTTATTGTCATGTTATGATCATGGGAACTGCA